AAACCACGAGGAGGTTAGCATGGGCACCACTGTGACCACAAGTTTAGTTTTTTTACAGAGTATCCCACATCACCATGGCTGTGGCGTACTCTAGCTCAAGTTCCTTCAAAGCCGACATGATTTGTTTTCAGTCGTGTTATAATGATTCCGTGAGTCAAGTGTGAAAACCTGCTTCCAGTCAGCCAGCCAACCAGCCAGCCAGCCAGCCAGCCAGCCAGCCAGCAACCGTAAAAGATGACAGCACACAGGGAAGAGGAAAACTCCTGGTGTTGAAGAAGCCAGGTGTTTGGCTTGGCTTTGCGCGCTCCGAGACCAGACGGAGCTCACGCTAATTACATCCACCTCTAATTTCCTCTAATAAGGCTTCTTCAGTAACTCTCGAGGAGTTGTATATCGTTATATCGTCTTACAATTGAGAAGGGATAAGGTGAAGAGATGGAAGAAACGGAGTGAGAGAGAGAGAGAGAGAGAGAGAGAGAGAGAGAGAGAGAGAGAGAGAGAAGAGAGAGAGGAGAGGACACTGAGGGAGAGAAAAATGAGGAAAAAAAAGATGCGACACTGAAGGGAAGCAGAAGGGACGAGGAAAAGGGTCTTAAAGTTTACTTGAAGTTAGTGAAGCGTCCTCCAAAGGTCTTCCAAGGGTCCTCCAAGGGCCTTCCTAGGGTCCTCCAAGGATCCTCCAAGGGGCCCACCAAGGGCCCTACCAGGGTCCTCCAAGAGTCCTCCAAGGGCCCTCTCAGAGTCCTCCAAGGGGGCCTCCAAGGGCCCTCCCAGAGTCCTCCAAGGGTCCTCCATCCTGACATTGAAGTGACGTCCAGTGTTCAGTGCTTCTCTATGATCATTCTAATAATGGTATTTCTACTGCCATTAATAATAACAGTAATAATAATGATAATATTGAAGAGAAAAGAAGAAAAAGAAGTATAATAATATTTAGTTACTGCTCTTATTGCCATTATTTTTTCTTTAAAAAATTTAAAACGAAAATCACATATTTAGCAATATTGTAATAATACTAATGATAATAATAATAATAATAATAATAATAATAATAATAATAATAAAAGCAATGATATTAATATATTATTATTAATAAATAAACAAAAGAATGGAGTGCTACTTGCCAGGACTATGGTTCGAGTCCCTGTCATTCTGGTTGTTCAGTGACAGTCGTTCACTATTTCTTGACGGTTTATTGACAATATGGCGTTTTGGCCAGTCTCATGGTGAGCAAAAATTCACGACGCTCTAACCCACTGGACCATACAATCCTACAAAGATCACGCATCCAGCAGAGCTAGGTGTTGTACCGTGATCCAAGGACATACGATGGTGTGGGTGCCTCAGAGCTAATTTCATTCTACTCCCCGCTTGATGTACTAGCCTCCACGAGCAGTATATATCGTATTGTAACTAAGACGAGTTGTATTTAATCAAAAACAACACTACGACTTGCCGGGGGCTCGAATCTGTGTTGTTTAGGCCCGCCTCATGGTGAGCGAAAATTCCACGACGCTCTGTAGGATTGGGTAGTCCTGTGGGTTAAAGCGTCATGGAATTTTCGCTCACCGTGAGGTGGGTTCGAGCCCTCGGCTAGTCGTAGCGTTGTTATTGATTAAATACCACACGTTCGTGGTTACAATACGATCTAATAAATATATATATATATATATATATATATATATATATATATATATATATATATATATATATATATATATATATATTTTATATATATATATGCCATGATCTGGGATAATCTATCGGGCTCTGAAACCAGATCTACTTCCCCAACAACTACAAACAGTTGCACTGGGATGGCCCAATAGTGGAGAATATATCCTCAATAATGCTTCAGTGTCAGGGAAGAACAGAGCCTGCCTCTTGGCAGTGAGAGCGCCTCATGCAGGGGACTTTCTGTTGACTGTTCCGAACTCCAGCCTTGGTACACACCTCGACCCACAGACCATCCGCATTGGTGTTGCCCTTCGACTTTCCGCCCCTATTCTCGCCGAACACAGGCGTATTTGTGGCAGTGAAGCAGCAGACCGATTCGGGTACCATGGTATTGTGGTCCGAAAATCCAAGGGAAAGATTGCAAGACATGACGAGGTTAATAACATTATCAAGAGGAGCCTCACAACAGCCGGATGCCCAGCAGTAAGGGAACCACCCCAACTATGCAAATCTAATGGCAGTCAGAAGCGTCCAGATGGTATCACCCTTCAAGCCTGGACATACTATACATGTGCATCTACCTTGGCTGATATCTATCTCCAATACACCAGGGAGGAAGAAGGGGCAGCCGTCAGCTTCAGGGAGTCCCAAAAGTCGAGAAAATATGGAGAACTTTCCCATCACTACATGTTTGTTCCCATGGGCTCAGAGACCCTTGGCTCATGGGAAAAGAGTGCATCTAAGTTCCTTAAGGAGCTAGGCAGAAGACTCATCAGGGTAACTAGGGATCCCAGGGCAGCTAGTTTTCTGTTCCAGCGACTCAGCACTGCTGTTCAGAGGCGTAATGCCTGCTGTATTTTGGGCACGCACCCCAGCTCTGAGGAGCTGAATGAGATTTTCGCATTATAATCGGTGACAAACACGTAACAATATGTACTAGACATGTATCTCTCACACCTCATGTACTGTATATGCCATCTTTATATCAACAATATATCTCTTAAATCTTTTGTACCATATTATGTAATAAAATATACTTATTGGTAAAAAAGAATAAAAAGATGGGGTGGTAGGGGAAGTGGAATATTCAAACGGCTTCAGGAAGAAATCCAGATATTCTTCTTTGAAGCCTTTTTATCCGCTTCTCCGATGTTATGGGTTCCACAATTTACACCAGAGGTGGACCCCATCCTATAATATATATATATATATATATATATATATTTTATATATATATATATATATATATATATATATATAAATATATATATATATATATATATATATATATGCATGCGCAATAAGATCACACTAAACAGGCGATATTACAATATCCAGAAAACCAATGTGAAAAAATAGTGACTTTCCAAGCGATTTCGTGATTTCTCACATTATCAAGGAACTATAAAAATAAAAGGTTAACAGGAAGGCATATAAGGACGAGACTACACCTCGCTGCCACCCCCAACAACACCTGACTTTTTATGATGTAGGTAGATAGTGATCCGTGAAACCAAGTTTTCATGGTAAAGGAGAACCAACATATTTTTAGTTGAGTAGGCTGGTTGTCCCTTTCTGAATTGTAAAAAGTATTTCTAGCAATTTTAAAGGATTTATCAATAATGATTCTTGGGTATTTTAGAACATTAGCTATTTCACAATTTTTGATATTTCTTCATTTATGAACTCTGGACTAAAAATACGCAAAGTTCTCAAAAACACTGATGAGAAATACCGACAGTTTAACTCTATCTTGATGTGAAGAATAATATTGTATATAGGAACAGCTATTTGTTGATTTTAAATTTAAAATTTAGAGAAAACCTACAAATAACTGTTCCTATATATACTATTATTCATCACATCAAGATAGAGTTAAACTGTCGGTTTTCTCATCAATGTTTTTGAAAACTGTAGATATTTGTAGTCCAGAGTTCATAGATGAAGACATATTAAATATTTATAAAATAGCTAAATATCTGAAATACCCAAGAAACGTAATTGATAAATACTTTTTACAATCCATAAAAGGAACAACCAACCTTATTCAACTATAAATATGTTGGTTCTCCCTTACCTCGAAAACTTGGTTGATATGCCTTCTGTTCTTAAGACTTTTAATATCAAAGTTGTTTTTTAAAATCTTGATACAGAAAAAAAACTTTTGATAAATTCCCCCAATATGTTGGCGAATGTGTGTATAAGATTCCTTGCAAAATATGCGATGAAGTTTATTACGGTCAAACTGGTCAGTCTTGAACTTAAGTTATACCAACATAAATATAGTATTAGAAGTGGACGAGATTCTAATGCTATATACCTCACTAAGTTCTGAGAGAGGGAGCAGAAGCTCTGAGTGCATCACAAGCCGACGTCTTTAGCAGATCATTTGATACAAGACAACTACCAGAGGTCTGGAAGACAAGTGATGTAGTCCCAACATTTAAAAATTCAAAAAAATACTGAAAGCATCAAACCTTAGGCATTCAACTGACATGCATGACTCACGAAATCCTAATAACATGATTGCAAAGAAATCGGTGACTTGAGCTAAAGTACACCACAGGCACGCTGATGTGGGATTAATCTGCAAAAATTTGCATTGTAGTCACAGTGGAGCCCATGCTGACTTTTCTATGATTTACAGAAGTATATCTAGGTGGATGAATCTTATTAGAATCAGCTGGCAGAGTGGTTAACGCACTGGCCCGTGAGTTTTAGGACTCGCCATGGGCTCAAACCCCACCCGTTCTTTAATTTAACTGCAAGGTTATGGAGAAAATTATGAAGACGCAAGTACTGAATTGACTGGTAAAACAGCAACCAGCACTTGTTAGAGTTTAATGCCAAGTTAACGTAAGTGAGGCAGTAGAGAGCTGGACGGAGGTACTCCAGATTTTTGGACTGTTTCATAGATTTTAAAAAATTTCCACATAAGTAGAGTGGAGGCAAGCTCCTTATATAAGTTTAAGAGCAGGTAGGATATGGCACACGAGGCTAGGAGGGAGTGAATTTGACAGGTTTCAAATTGAGAGGCGGGGCCAGGAGCTAAGACTCTATTCTTTTAACCTCATATAGACGAGTACATTCAAATGAGTACACACACACACACACACACACACACACATACACATAGCATTAAGCAGAGGAGAGTGACCTAGTAGCGACCAGTGTAGAGGCGGGGCCAGGAGCTTGGACTCGACTCCTGTAACCTCAACTAGGTGAGTACAACTAGGTGAGTACACACACACACACACACACACACACACACAATAACAAAACGATGTCATATTAATTTTAATTCTCCATCCTTCTTCTTGCAGGTCCAGAGATCCAACGAGAGGAAGGTTCTGCTGAAGAAACTGACCTTCAACTCGACTGGAGTGTACAAGTGTGAGGTGTCTGCTGACTCCCCGCACTTCCACACCTACGAGAACCAGAGCGTCATGGTGGTAGTAGGTAAGTGACACACTTGTATATACTGAGGTGACCAAGGTAGCTGTAAACTCAGTTAGGTATTCAGAGTGTACTGGTAATGAGACTTTATATTCACATTTAAAACAGAAAGTTGTCTCTAATTACACGACTTATTAAAAATAGAAGTTATCTTTAATTTCTCAGCCTCTTTATAAATCATGTTATCACTAATATAACGAGTTAATCTTACTTTCTCAGTAAACTAAGATAGTAATTCTTCTTTAATTCTTCTTCCAACTAAGTATCAGGTTATCATTACTTCCTCATCCAACTTTGATGTTACCAACTCATTCATCAGCCCTCTAAGACCGCTATTTATCCCTAATTCCACTTCCTAATTAAAGAGCTAATTCTCCTTATTTCCGAAACCAGCATCGATACCAGCTCATCCTGACGTCATCAACACACACATGTGGCTAATTATCCCTTTTTCCTCTAACCAGTATGAAAGCAAGTGTTCCTTCTCCCCAGGACAACACCAAATTTTCCAATAAATTCTCATCTCAATTAGGCAGCAATTTTAACCCATTAAGATTTAGGGTAATCACTAAAATGCAAGAACATTAAGCCACAATGAGACCAAGACATTCGTTTCTCACGCAGACAACTGATACAAGTTATCGATTCAATATCTATTAACATAGAAAAACGACTTTCCCTGCACATTAAGCAATGATAGCCAGTTATCTTTCCTTCCTTCCCCAAATAAAATCGGTAGTTATCCCTACTTCATCTCACTAAATTAGCAAGATATGCTTATTTTTATTCTAAGTTTGTAATTACAGCCCCAGTCTACCAAGATAGCAAGTATTCCACACTTGAACTTGTAATAAATGGCGCACAGTAACATCGAAATAATAAGATATTTTCACAATTATGAATTCTGCTGGGACACAACGTTGCGCTTGAGCTGCAGAAGCTTCATCAACTCGTAGCTGCAAGAGGAGAGGTGGGTCAAGAGCAGACTCGTCCCATGCAACAGCATTTAGGTGAATACATACATACATTCTTTTTCTCTCTCTCTCTCTCTCTCTCTCTCTCTCACGCACACATACACACACACACACACACACACACACACACACACACACACACACACACACACACACACACACGCACGCACGCACGCACGCACGCACGCACACACACACGTGAACGACATGACGGAAGGGTTAGGCTCAGAAGTGTCCCTGTTTGCAGATGATGTGAAGTTAATGAGGAGAATTAAATCTGATGAGGACCAGGCAGGACTTCAAAGAGACCTGGACAGACTGGACACCTGGTCCAGCAAATGGCTTCTCGAATTTAATCCTGCCAAATGCAAAGTCATGAAGATAGGGGAAGGGCACAGAAGACCACAGACAGAGTATAGGCTAGGTGGCCAAAGACTGCAAACCTCACTCAAGGAGAAAGATCTTGGGGTGAGTATAACACCGAGCATGTCTCCGGAAGCACACATCAATCAGATAACTGCTGCAGCATATGGGCGCCGGCCAAAACCTGAGAACCTTTCCGATACCTTAGTAAGGAATCATTCAAACATGAAACCCCCGGTATGTGGGCCCCTACTGGAGATGCAGCCCCCTGTTGGAACCCCGCACTTTAAAGCACGTCAAGAAACAAAAAGAAAGACAAAGGTTTGCGAAAAGGTTAGTTCCAGAGCAAAAGGGGGAATTTCCCTATAAAGAAAGAAAAAGGGAAATGGGCCCCTGCACATGGAGGACAGGGGGCGGGGGACATGATAGCGAATATAAAATCTGCGGGGAATAGAAAAGGGGGGACAAAGACAGGATTTTCCAGGGAGGGGACACAGAAACAAGAGGCCAAAATTTGGGAATTAAAGCCCAAAAAAGAGTCGGGAAAAGGGAATAAGTTTTTTCTTCAGTCTAGGTTTAAGGTTGGGAATACCTTAAAAAAACGTAGGGGAGGGGGAAACCATACACAGTTTAAGACGGGGTTTGATAAAGCCTGGGCGGGGAGGAGGGGGCCCCCGTAGAAAAACCGGTAAGAGGCGGGGCCCGGGAGCTAAGACTCGCCCCCTGAAACCACAAATTGAGACAAATAGGTGGACACACACACACACACGAAAGACAAAGAGAGGAGAGGGTGGTGGGATTGCATTTTTTGGGGAGCAAGAAGGCTTTGACAGTTCCCCAAAGATTAGTGCAAAAACGGAGGACCAAGCAGTGAAAACGGGGAAAGCACTCAATGGATCGGAATACTTGTCGGGGAAGCCCAGCAGCGATCATGGTACGGGGCGAGGTGTCAAGTGGGCACCTGTGACCAGCGGGGCCCCACAGGGGTCAGCCCTGGCCCAGTGCTGTTTCTGGTTTTGGGGGGGAAAACGACATGCAAAAGGGAATAGACTCTGAGGTGTCCCTGTTTGCGTACGTGAAGTTGATGAAAAGAATTCATCATCGAAGACCGGGCAAACTAAAGGGTTGGGAAGGCTGCAGCCCTGGCCCAGAAATTGGCTCCGGATTTAAACCCCCCAAGTGTAAAGTCATGAAGATTGGGGAAAGGGGGAAAGAAACCGCAGACGGAATACAGTCTGGGGGGCAGAGACTAAAACCCCCTAAGGGGGAAAAAAAAAAAAATTTGGGGGTGATATAACTCCAGGCACATTTGAAGGACACAAAAAAATAACGGTGCACATATGGGCCCCTAGCAAACCCAGAACACATTCCGCCCATCTTAAAAGGAATCGTTCAAAACCCTGTACCCGTTACGTTTCCATATAGGGTATGGGGGGGGGGGCCAGTTGGGAAACCCACCTAGCCAAGACGAAAGAAATAGAGAAAGTGAAAAGGGTTTTTGAAAAAAGACTAGCCCCAGAGCAAGAGGTATGTCCTACGGGGAAAGGGTTAAGGAAATAAACCTGACGACACGGAGGACGGGGGGGGATGGGGGGGACATATAACGCTCAAAATATGAGAGGAATGAAAAAGTGGTCAAGAAGGATTTTCCCAATTGGACACGTAACAAGGGAAAAAGTTGGAGTTAAAGACACGATGAATCACAGGGTGTTAGGAAGTTTTTTCTTTCACCAAAAAAGGTATCAGTAAGGGGAAATAGTTTGGGAAGCGTTGTTTTGGAGGAGGACCATACATACTTTAAGCAGGGGTTGATAAAGCTCGCGGTTCAGGGAGAGTACTCGATAAGGATCGGGAAGGGGCGGGGCCAGGAGCCGGACTCGACCCCTGAACCCTCAGCTAGGTGAGTCCCAAAAAAAACTAGGTGAGTACAACTTGTGAGTACACACACTTTTCCGCCAAAATGTAGATTTATCCACAGATAAAAAGCAGTTTCTTTTTTTTAACTACCCTTGAAGATAACAAGTTATCATGGCAACTTTCCAGAGCTGCCAGAGCGGGGTCCGACCATCCAGGGCTCGGGATCACACAAAAGGGAGTAACCAGCCAATGTACCCATCAAGGAGAAAACCTGCAGCCCGTCCCCTGGTTTATAAAGGGAGAAGGAAAGGTTTTGTGGTGTGTGGTGGGGTGTGTGTGTGTGTTGTGTGTGTGGTGGTGGGGGTGGGGGGGGGGAAGGAGAGAGAGAGAGAAAAGAGAAAAGAAAAAAGAGAACCTAAATTCATTTGACTGTAACCTTCTTCACATCACTTCATCTGAGATCATTTTTTCCTAGGATGACTCGAACTTGGACCTTTTTGTAAGCATAATGATTCAACAAAATTGAATTGATCAAATAATATTGTCCCCCACAGATGGCTCCAACTTCATCCTTTTCCAAAAATTTAAATTTTTAAAAACAATAAAAGGCTTTAAATAAGCTTTGTAGGAAGCTTTAGGCTGTAAATAAATTTGGGAATCCTTAACCAATTTTGTGAAACCCCTGTGTAAAAAAAGGAGGGGGCAGGGGGGCGTTGCCGTATGCTTTTCAAAGGTGTACATGACCAGCGTATTATTTGCCGTCCCTAACACCTCAAAGTTTGAACAACCTGCAAATGAGTTCTTCAAGCATTATAAACACGCACCCTGTACTAGGGTGTGCAATCACAGACCCAAAGGCAAAAAAGGGTTTTCCCATCAATTTCCCAGGGAAAAATTTTGACAAAACTTTTGCTTCAACGAAACGAAGACCTAAGTAACCTCAAATAGCATCTTATACAGAGGGATTATGATGAACTTCTTGCTGTCTTTGACAGGGAAAAACATCGTTACGTCATCTCAAAACCCCTGGTCTTTCCATGACCAAAGTGATTTCTATCTAAAGGCATAGTCCTTGTCCCCCCCTTGGCTATTTTGGGATCATCTGCCACGGGGCGTGTTTTCGACACTAAAAATTCCAACGGAACAGGTGAAAAATTACATGCACAACCTAGCTTAAAAGGAAATGGCTCCCTTTGCTCTGAGCTGCCGCCTGTGTTTGAAATATTTATCAAAGGTGATGTCACAATAAAACATCCTTAATCTCCAAAAAAAAAACCAATTCCGCCAGATTTTATGACAAAACCCTTTCACATACCCCTTGGTTCGGCTTTGTTGTAAAGAGGCTGCCTGTTAAGTGCGGGGCTTGGAAAAGGTAAAAGAGGCATTCAATAGCTAAAAACAAAAAACCTGCACAGGCAAGCCTTTGTCAAATGGAAAAAGTTCAAAAGTGGGTTATCTCTAGATGGAAGGTTGACAAAAAGAAAGTTTGACGTAAGGGTTGAGGGGGCTTCGAAACTGGGGGTCGTTAGTTATGCCCGCGATGTTCACCTGATGAAATTTTCCCACCCCAAAATGGTAGGATTGACCACCCTACTAGCAGTCGGGAGAAACCTGCCCCTTTTTACCAAATTTTCTTTGTCAAAATAAAAGTTTCTGAACTAAAAGGAAATTAAAATTTATCAAAATTAAATGTATTTGCCCCTTAAATCCCGGGGGAAAGGGCATGGGCCCAGATAACTGCCAGCATCTCTAACGTAATTATCAACACGCCTAGCCCGTGAAATTTGGGTCTTCTCCGGGGAAAGAGCAAATGTAGTCCCCTTTTCACACAAAGGAGACCCGCAATGGAAATCATAAGCCCATGTCCTCCGTCAACCCGGGGCAAAATTCTTGAGAAAAACAAATCACAGCAGTGACAGCATTTTTGACTACCACTCGCTTTTTTGTGCCTCAACTGGCTTCAGAAAAGGTCGCCTGCTGCTGATCGCTTTTAAATCCTCTCCACTGGGTTTGTCAGCCCCTTTTATGAACCCCAAGAAAGCTGTGTAACGGGGACATTGCTGGGCTTTCGACCAAAATGGCCCCAGGGAACCCTGGCAAAACTGCAAGCATTGGGATCCCCCGTCTTTGCACTATGCCCCCACGTGATTAATTTTAAAGGAAAATTTTGTGACTTGAAAAACCCCAGTGTGGGAAAATTGCAAAAAAGGATCACATTTACTGCTATGGGGGAACGCAAAAACCCTAGGATTATACAGCCCCTGTGGAGGGGTGGAAGGTATTCAGGATAATTCGGGAGCGGAGCCGACCCATTTCCCCCTAGACAGGCCCCCTCCCCGCATCAAGGAACTTCCTTGAGGGGGATGGTTTTTGTGAAAGTGTCTTAGTGGTGACGTTTACTTGCTCTGTGAAGACCTTTTGGGCTCTCGTAAATCTCAACCGGGATGCCCTCTCTTGAGAAACTTTACCGCGCTGAGAGAAACTCAAGTTGCAAGGGAAAAAGGGCGTTACGGAGGAGAAAGGGGATTCGTAGTAACCCCTTCTGTTGTAGCCCCCAGGTTAAGAGGGAGCTTGGTCAGTGGGGGAAAATGGAACCAAGCGAAGTCAAAAAAGGGTTGGAGAGGAGAAAAAAACGAGAAACCAGGACTCCCGGGGAAATTTCCAACTCATCTCG